GAGTTGCTATTTTGATTCTGTGAAATTTCTGACTTTCTTCTTTCCCTTTTTTTTATTAGAAGGACAATTATTTTACATGTCAATCCCAGGTCCCTCGCTCTCCCCTCCTCCCCTGTCTCCCCAACTAGCCTCCTACCCATCCCATACGCTTTCTGCTCTCAGGGAGGGTGAGGCCTTCTGTAGGGGCTCTTCAAAGTCTGTCATATTCTTTGCGATAAGGCCTAGGCCAAGCCTCTTGTGTCCAGGCTGAGGGAGTATCCCTCCATGTGGGATGGGCTCCTAAAGTCCATTCCCATGGTAGCGATAAGTACTGATCCACTACAAGAGGTCCCATAGATTTCCAAGTTCTCCTCACTGACACCCACATTCAAGAGGTCTGGATCAGTCCCATGCTGGTTTCCCAGCCTTTATTCTGGGGAGCAAGGGTTTTTCCTTTTTCAGGTCAGCTGTTTCTGTGGGTTTCACCAGCCTGGTATGGAGTCTTTTCTTCATATTCTATAATTTCCTGTTAATGTGATGTCATGACTAGTGGAATTTCTAGTAGCCTTTGGAAAATATTTTTGTCTAGTTTCTTCCTTAATGGGTTAAGGTCAGGCATTGTTGTTGGAGCAGCTATATAAAAATCCACAGCAACCTCACCATCTAAAATCTGAGGCAGATCAGCTCCTCCTGAAAGAACAACTCCATTCTATTCTGCAATGGTAATCTCTGATGCATTCACAGTAAATACAGTAACTTTGTTGGCTTCTGAAGAAAAGGGGAATAGTAAACTAATAATGCTGGCAAATGACTCCACATTTTTCTTTTTCTGGTGTGCCATTTCTAATATTATATCATGATAAACACCTTCCTTTGGATTGGCTAAGACAATAACTTGAAATTTTTTAAGCAAGTGAATAGAATTCTCCATGTCATAGATCTGCCTTTGGTATAAGCATTTTAAATAGACTTCATCTTCAAGTTCATTTTTCAGACAAATATATGACTTCATTTTTACTATATCACCTAATTTTTTATCTGATGTATTTTCATTGGCATCTTCTTTCTAATTTTCCTTGGTGGCAGTGTAGCAGCAGCAACAGCAGCAACAAAATGTCTGTTGTACGAGAGGTTTACAGAACAAAAGTAAAGAGATATCTTATAAATCATCTTGGAAAGAATTTGCCTTTGATGTTGTATCAAGAATCTACTGATGGGGAATATACTTCTTTGTATGTTCATCTTATTGATTGTTGTATAAAGTACTGTTTGGCCAATGAGGCAGAAAGTTAGGTGGGACTCATAGTCCAGGAGGATTCAGGGAAATGTAGTAAAGAAGTTGTTTTCCAGGCAGGAAGTGACATAGCAGGGAGACTCATATTTAAAGAAGAACAACAGGAAGTGGTCCCTTTTCCCCTTCACTCTTCCTCCAGTGGCACCATGTGATCCACCAGCAAGGGAGGACACCAGTGGAAGGCGTCTGATAAGTCTTATAAAATATATAGATTTATGATAATTAAGACTGAGCTAACAGACGAGACTCCTAGTCATTGGCCAAGCAGCATTTGTACCTAATATAAGTCTTTATGCATTAATTTGGGCCTTACCTTGGCGGGAAGAAATCAGGTGGCTGGCAGATACCCCACATGTGGTGGTAGGGCTCGGGCGGCTTTTGTTGGAAATATTTATCATAACAATCTACCAATGCAACTTATGATGACTGCCATATTGACTATTCCAGATAATGTTCTAAAATGTTTTCTTTTTTTTATTTTTGAGACAGGGTTTCTCTGTGTAGCTTACAAGTCTGTCCTGGAATGTGCTCTGTAGACCAGGCTGGCATTGAAATCAAAGAGATCCACGTACGTATAACTCCTTAGTGCTCAGATTAAAGGTGTGTGCCAACATCACCTGGCCTAAAATCTTTTTCTTAAATAGGATTTTGTATTATATTTAGAAATTTATCTTTGCTTACCAATTACTGAAATGGTATAATTTATTTAACAAGTGTTTATTTTATTCACTAAACTAAAATATATTTTAGTTTTCTTTTAACTTGTCTTTTAAAATACACATTTAGGGATTATCAGTTGTTATGAGAATTAAACTACTACTGGCCTTTCATTGTGACTATATTAAATTTATCTTCTTTCTGATGTATCAGGTATAAACACTTCCTCAAAGAATAAATTCAAAGGATACAAAGAAAATTCAACAACTAGAACACGCACATACACACACACACACACACACACACACACACACACACAGACACACACACACACACACAGAGAGAGAGAGAGTTAAAATGAGGAAAACAGATGATATCTTTCAAAAGGCTTCTTCAAAAGATGTTACTACAGACGATATTAATTCTTCAAGTAAAAATTAGAGATTGTATGAATTATCTACTAGATATATTGTTCAGTATTCAGAGACTGTATTTTATTTTTCCCTTTTGTCATTTTAATTAGAAACAAGTATATTTTACATGTCAATCCAAGTTCCCTCTCTTCCCTCTTCCCCTTCCACCCAGCAACCCCTATCACATCACCATTCTGCTCCCCAGAGAGGGTGGGACCTTGCATGGAGGACAAGGGGGAGCAGGAAGATTGAATCAGGGAAGAATAGATGAGAGCAATACCATAATATAAGGAGCCATTATATGTTTAAAGAGAAATCTGGCACTAGGGAAATGCCCAGAATCTAAAAAGATGGCCCCAACTAACAATCTAAGCAATAGTGGAGAGGCTACCTTCAATGCCCTCCCCTGATAATGGGATTGATGACTACCTTATATGCCATCCTATAGCCTTCATCCAGTAACTGATGGAAGCAGAAGCAGACACCCACAGCTAAACACTGAGCCAAACTCCTCCAATAAAGTTGCAGAGAAGTAGGAGTGATGAGTAAAGGGGTCAAGACCAGGCTGGAGAAACCCAGAGAAACAGCTGACCTAAACAAGGGGAACTCATGGACCTCAGACTGATAGCTAGGAAAAGAGTATAGGCCCAACACAGACCCCATGAACGTGGGTTGCAGTTAGGAGGCCTGGGCATTCAATGGGGTTTATGGCAGTGGATCAGTATTTATCCCTAATGTACAAATGGACTTTGGGAGCCCATTTTACTTAGAGGGATACTCTCAGCCTAAACATATGAGGGAGTGCCTTGGTCCTGGTCCAAATGATATGAAAGATAGTCCCTGAGATCCACAATTAATAAATGGGACCTTCTGAAACTGAAAAACTTCTGTAAGGCAAAGGACACAGTTCATATGGTAAAATCAGCAGCCCAGAGACTGGGAAAACATCTTCACCAATCCCACATCTGACAGAGGGCCGACTTCCAAAATATACAATGAACTCAAGAAGCCAGTCACCAAAACACGAAATAATGCAATTAAAAATTGTGTACAGAACTAAATAGAAAATTCTCAATAGAGGACTACAAAATGGATGAAAGACACATAAGATTAACTGTTCAACATTGTTATCCATCAGGGAAATGCAAACAAAACAAACTCTGAGATACCTTCTTGCTCCTGTCAGAATGGCTAAAGTCAAAAACACCAAAGGCTATTTATTCTGGATAGGATGTGGAGAAAGGAGAACACTTCTCCACTGCTGGAGGGAGTGCAAACTCATAAGGTCACTTTGGAAATCAGCATGGCAGTTTCTCAGGAAAATGGGAATCAGTCGACCACAAGATCCAGCAATTTCATTCTTAGGCATATATCCAAAGGATGCACATTCATACACCACGGACATCTGTTCAACTAGGTTCATAGCAGCATTATTTGTAACAGGCATAACCTGGAAGCAACCTACATGCCCCTCAACTGAAGAATGGATAGAAAAAATGTTGTACATTTACACAATGGAGTACTATTCAGCAGGGGAAAAATCAATGGAATCTTGAAATTCGAAGGCAAATGGATGGAACTAGAAGAACCCAGCTGAGTGATGTAACCCAGTCACAAAAAGACAAACATGGTATGTGCTCACTCATATATGGATTTTAGACATAGAGCAAAGGATTACCAGCCTACAATCCATACCACCAGAGAAGCTAGGAAACAAGGAGGACCCTCAGAGTGACATACATGTTCCCCTGGAGAAGGGGAACAGGAAAAGATCTCCTGAGCAAATTGTGAGCATGGGGGGGAGGGGAGAGGGAGTTAGGAGAAAGAGAAGGTGAGAAGAGGATGAGAGAGGAAGACATGAGGGAGAAGGATTGTTGTATTTTTTGTTACTGAATAGTCATATGCTGGCCTGTGTCAAAATTTCCTAATCAAGGTATATCATAAAACTTTTCTATGCACTTTTTATTTGTATACTTAAGAAATAATGTGTATTTTCTACTATTTCTATTGTTGTATGGCATTGTTTCTGGAGAGACTTGACAAAATATCTACTCACTCAAGATAGGCAACCAACAACAGAAAAAAACTAAGTATGTCCAGGGCATTGGTGGCGCGAGCCTTTAATCCCAGCACTCGGGAGGCAGAGGCAGGTGATCGCTGTGATTTTGAGGCCCGCCTGGTCTCCAGAGAGAGTGCCAGGATAGGCTCCAAAGCTGCACAGAGAAACCCTGTCTCAAAAAATCCAAAAAAAAAAAACCTGTCCTAGTTAATGTTGTCATTGCTGTAATGGAACACTATGACCAAAACCAAGTTGGGATGAAAGATGTTTATTTCACTCACAGTTCCAATTAATAGTTCATCATTAAATCAGGTACTGCAGGAACTCAAAGAGATCATGAACCTGGGAGAAGGTACTAATGAAGAGATCCAGGAGTCCTCCTGTCTTCCTCACATGCTTACTTAGTCACTACTCTCAGAAAGCGAAGGAAAAGGGCAGGGACAGCAGCGTCTTTACTTTTAGCCATGCTGTTTATCAGAGAAGACTCATGTGAAGAAAACAAATAAAGATATACACTAAGGATTGATTCAGAGAAACAAAACCTCTAAATGGTATACAGTGTGTTTTATAATATTTGGAGGCTTGGGAGAGAAAAATGAAGGAGAGAGAAAGTCCTTACAAAAGAAACAGAGTAGCTGGATGTGGTGGCACACGCCTCTATTCCCAGCACTCCAGAGGCAGAGGCAGGCAGATCTCTGATTTTAAGGCCAGCCTAGTTTACAGAGTGAATTCCAGGGCTGCAAAAGTTACACAGAGAATCCCTGTTTCAAAAACCCAAATATTAAAAATAAAAGAAATAGAGTAATAAAAAAGCATCATAAAGATGGAAAATACGCAGAGATTCTGGATACTGTTTGTTATTGTGTTGTTTTTTAATTCTTTGGTTGCTAAGGAAATAGTAACTACTGCTATAAAATGATTATAAATGCTGCAGGATTAATCCAACCTATATATTTTGAAAATGTCTTGACTTCAAAATTTAAGTCTAAGGACATGTTACTTTTGAAAAGAGATTCTGTTTTTGTTTCCATTGAAAATGACAAGCTGTGGATTCCTTCCAGACTAATGTGGTTTTATCAGGCAAAATCCCCTCAAGCAGTGTCCAATGTGATCCAACAACCAAGACAGCTGGAATTATGCAGCTTTGCATCATACTATACCCAGGAGTTGGCCATGATTCTGGGTTTTCTAAGGATCCCTTTGTGTTTGACAGTACCCCCAAACAGAAGGAAGCAGTTTGGAAAGAACTAGACCCAAATTCCCAAAAAACATTTATAAATGTCTGTTTTCATTTAAAGAGGGTTGGTTATAAATGGTTAGTGATCCCAGTCAATTTCTTTTTCTTAAAAAAAGAAATATGGTATAGAAATGCATACCACTAATATAAACCATTAAATTTTATCTTAATCATTAAATTGCACTCACACTGTTCACTTATCAGTAGCACTTAATACTATTTCCTAAGTTTCTTACGCCACTTGGTACATGAGATTAAGTAATTCTCGTTCTCCTATCACCTTACTACTCACTCCAAAAAGTCATTGTCGTTATTATGATTTTTTGCTTTACTTTGTTTCGTTCTTTTCTTTCTTTTTCATTTTTTCTCTTTCTCTCTGTGTATGGATGTGTGTGTGACTGTGTGTGACTGTGTGTGCCTGTGTGTGTGTGTGTGTGTGTGTGTGTGTGTGTGTTTCTGTCTCTCTATGGACATTGATGTGGACATCTGTGAATAACCTGAAATAGGCAGTTGTATTCTATGATGTGTGTCCTGTGGATAAAACTCAGATCATCAGTCTTGGTTGCAACTGTCCTTTCCTACTGATAAATCTTGCCAGTCCCATTTTTCATTTTCATATTCATTCACTGAATGAGTATTTTTTTTTGTTTTAATACAGTTTTTTCTTTTTGTTATTATTTTTTTATTTTAGAGGCACTCATATTTACATATCCATCCCCATTATTCCCTCACCCTCCCATCCTCCCATGTTCCCCCTCAACCTCCCCCAACACATCCCCCAACTCCTCCCCAGGGATAGTGAGTCCCTCCACTGGGAACCTTCAAAGTCCATCATATCATTTGGGGGAGGGCCTAGGCCCTCCTTGCTGTATCTGGGCTGCAATGGTATCCCTATTTAGGGAATGGGCTCCCAAAGTCCATTTGTGCTCTAGGGATAAAGACTGCCTCCACTATCTTGACCTCCTAGCTGGCAGTCACATTCAGAGGGCTTGGTTTGTTCCAGTGCTGTTTCTGCAGTTTATGACTAGGATCTCCATGCTCTCAGTACGCTAGGTCAACTGTTTCTGAGGGTTTCTCTAGCACCTCCTTGGCTCCTTTGCTCATCCCTCTCCACAACTGGACTCTAGGAGTATGGTTCAGTGCTTAGCTGTGGGTGCCTCTTTCTGCTTCTAACAGCTACTGGATGAAGGCTCTGGGTAACAAAGGTAGTTTATAAGTTTCATTATAGGGGAAGGGCATCAATGGCATCCTCTCCACCACTGCCAGAATTCAGTGGTGCACACATTTATTCCCAGCACTCTGTAGGCAGAGGCAGGCCTAATACAAGTTTCTGTGTATTCATTTGGGCCTAACTTAGGCTTGTGGCTGGGGTAAAGCACACTTGTGACTGTGGGGTTCGGCGGCTTTTGGCACAAAGATTTATCGTAACAGGAGGCAAATGAATATTCTTATGAATAGTCAAATTACTACTACTAGAAAACATCAAAGGTAAACAATTTATAAAGAACAGAGGTTTCCTTTGTCTTAGATTAGGAGATTCTATTGTAAGGTCAATTTACACTATGCTTTTAGCCCTATGCACTTCATGTTTAGGACATTTGTTGGAACTTTATCATTTATGTCATGATAAAGTTGAGAAAGAAGAAAGGATTGAGATGCACACAATTCTTTCTTACAGGGAATCTTCTCAATACCTGAAGACCTTCACGAATGCTACAGCTCTTAAATTCTAAATAATTTCTTAATAATGGTCTAATGAATGAAAATACAATTAGCACATGGTCTTTTTTGAGAACTTCTTGTTTGGAAGGGTATGGATTGTGTCTAGCACTTCATGCATGACACAAAATGTTCTACGTCCAGCCCTTTGCTTCATAACTTATCCTTTGTTTTGTAATCTTATATTTAATTCTACCTATGTAGCTTAGACAGAAGAAGACTTTGCTATAATCTTGCCTCCACCTGCCAAGTAGCAGGGACCACAGCCCAGGAACACCAGGCCTGGTTAATTTAGGAAATATTTAAAATTCAAACTATATCAGAATCTAATGTGTTCCACACTTGTTAACTACTTGAGTCTCAGCGGGAGGAAAGTAGAAAAAAAATCTTTCCACTCTCCTTGAAGAAAAAAGCCAGCAAACAAAATGATGAAAAAAAATAAAACAAATAATATTACTTAACCATTTAAAATTACATAGTCGATAAAGAGACAACACATAATTACTGCAATGGATATGTTTCAAATTTAATTAACTTTATTAAGTTGGTAACAAAGTAGGGAGTGCTAATTTGGTACTTCATATAATTGGTCAGGAAAAATTTCATTGATCAAAAATACTTGATGACAAACATGAAGAAAATAAAGGGGTGTACCTCTCCAGAGGCAGATTACTGCAGACTGTAGACACCAAGCAACACAAGCAGTAGCACACTGAATCCACATGCTCAGCATGCTCAGAAAATAACAGGTTAGCTGCTATAATCAAGGGGGGGCATTATAAATTCCATAAGTAGTGGAGGGCAAAGCCATGCAGGAACATTAGGCTGTTATAAAGATTTGCACTGTGTTTAACTTATCCTTGCCCTAAGTGCACAGTCTGGTCTTTGTTCTTATATTAGAGAAGGTAACTTTAAAACAATGCAAATGCAGTGCTTAACAAAAACTTCCTTTGTTTGCTTGGAAAATTTGGGAGAAGCCTAATATTAAAAACATGATTCAGAATTCAGCATCTTAGCTTTTCTTTTGCTTTATATCAGCTAAATTATTCTGATTCTATGGATGCAGATGACACCAAAGATCATCAAGCATCCCTATGATGGAGACCCAGTACCAACTCTGGAAATATTTCAGGTTTATTTTTATATTCTCCTGCTGGGCAAGTAATGTTATACTGGCTCCATGGTGAATGAATAATTATTGGAAGCTTTGCATTTGTTGTATTTCCCAGACTCTGATCTGTATGCTTCTCTTTGGGCTGATTGCAATCCACATCTTTTATGTTTAATAAACTTGAAACATGTCTACAACAACATTCTGTGAGTTCTACTGAGTCTTTCCAAAGGACTATTGAAATAGAGTCTGAACTGGGCTATTTAAAAACTGACAGTTTGCATCCAGGTGCCTTTCCAAATATATTTTATTATAAAATACACATTGCTATTCAATATAAACAAAACAATTTATTTAAATTTTCAAATGGGTAGTGTTTTCTTGATATTTATGTTGTTATGTAACTATCCACATCTTTCTCTTTCTCAATTTTTCCATCACTATAAGAATAAAAAGCAGGTATCTTTCTCCATATCTCCAGGTTCTAGTAATTTCTATCATACATTCCATCTCTATGAATTTACCAGTTGCATATTTTCAAATCATATAATATGTATCTTTTAAATCTGGCTTACTTTAATTAACAATATTTTCAAATTTTATTTGTTTGCAGCACATACCAATTATTTTTTCTTTGCTTTTTATAACTGAAAAATGCTTCACAGTCTGGATAACTATTGATTAGTTTGTGAACATATACTTTTCCTCAGATACTCTAAACAATGTTACATTAAGTGCTGTCACTTAAGTAGCACTTTGACCATGTTATTTTCAACACTTTGGGATGTATAAACTTAGAGGTAGAATAGTCAAACCATAGGTTAATTCAATATTGGCCTTTAAAAAGAGTCTTGAATTGGGCAGTGGTGGTGCATGCCTTTAATCCCAGCACATGGAAGACAGAAAGGCACGGATCTCTGTGAGTTCTAGGACATTTGGTCTATATTGTAACATCCAGGACAGCCAGGGCTGCAGATAGAAACCCTGTCTTGAAAAACAAATAATAGAAAACAAATGATAAAGTAAGAAAAAAACTAAAAAAAAGAAAAAAAGAAAAAACAAAACAAGTAGTATTGTGATGATTTTGTATGGCATCTGTAAATTTTCCATTCCCAGAAAAATAGATAATGATTTGGTTGTTCTCTACATTTAACACTTGATATTTTCTGTTTTTATTTTCTTTAATACTCTGGTAGATATGAAAAATAATCTCATTGATTCCTGTTTTAGACACTAATGTTATCACAAATCTTACTAAGCTTTTCATATGTGTTTTATTTACTATAACATGAATATGTAATATTTTCTATGTGTAATTTATTGATGCTTCGATTCCAGTTAAGGGGGATAATTTGGCAATGGGACTGGATTAAGAGCTGGGTAATGGACTGTGAACAAA